GGCTTATTAGCGGTAGACTAGTCAATCAGTGGTTCAGTCGAAGGTCCCGTGCCTTTCTCTCTCAAGTCGTCCACTTGAGAGTATCGGTCTAGACCCTTCTAGAAACCCCACTCTGATTTGAAATGTACACACGTCATGTTAAACCTAGTATGGATTGAAACGTCATTGACGCATTAATCCTCTTAGATAAACATTGTCCAAAGTCCAAAGGGATTTCCATAATCCCAAAGGACACAACCATGTTACGTGCATTGCTTGGAGAAAATATGCCAACATGTTGACCGTTATTGCGTAAATGGTCGAATCTGGAGGGGAAAAGGGCTACCCTTTATTTATTTGCCGAAAATGAAGCACAAAATTTCCAGGTTTGGCATAGTGCAGAATATCCCACCGCTGCTGATTTACTGGTGGAATAACCTTGCAGCATGTGACAGAAACCACATAAGAAGAGTATTGGGTAACTTGCCCTCTTTGCTGAATATTCAACCGCACAGAGAATTAATTGAGGCAGCCAATATGTTCTGGGATGAAAAGAGAGTTGTCTTCTGATTTAGAAATATAGATATGACTCCTCTTCTAGAAGAGATAGGGGATTTGGCCAAACTTCCATGGGATGGTCCGGGTCTGTTGGTGCCAGAAAATCGCACTCCACGCGGTTTTCTGAAAATGCTAGGGTTCAAGAAAAATGACAAGTTGGTTTCCTTGAAGAAATCCTACATCCCTTTCGAGTTTCTCTATGAGCGATATGGGAATAGCAAGTCATACCACTTGCATCACGAGGAGTTAGATATTACCCCTTTGGGGTGAGTCCACCGCTGAGTTTATGTCTTCATAGTGTGTTTCTTGGGTTTGCTAATCTTTCCAATGCAAGGAGGGAAAATTCACACCCGCTTGGTCATGGTCGCCAGGACTGTGATGGAAGGTATCGGAGTGTAGAAATACACAATCATCCCTATGATACTAGCTGAGATGTACCGATCCTTGGATCGGTGAAAGCATGGGTTTGGACACTTCGAGGGTTGCAATCTTCTACTACAGGTTTGACTGCTAGAGTATTTTTAGAGGGTAAATTACTGTGAGGAGCTCTAGACCACTGAATGACTACATCGCCAGTCATCATCCAAAGAAGATGATGTTTGCTCCAGATAGGTTTGCAAAGCCTGGGAATGCTTAAGGTTGGGTACGTTTCTTCAGTAATCTGATGGACGAACAAGTGCATTGGATGTTCCAGTGGTTTCCTAATAGAGAGTTCATCATCAGGTCCAAAGGTACCACTCACTTGGTGATAATTGGGTTGCGAGGCATCTACCCTTACGCTCCTATAAGGGTAATGTGGCAAGCTGGGAGGAAGCAAGTCATACCTCGGGTGTCCAATAAGTTTCAGTATAAAGAATACTTCAAAAGAGATATTATTCCATTCAAATTCGAGGCCCAACACATGTTGAACCAAAAGATCATTGTAGATGGGGGGACTATTTAACCAGACAGGTACCACGCCAATCATATGTATTACTACCGTTCATGGTTGGAGGACGATATAACCAGGGATGTCAAACCAGTAGTCAATCTGAATGAAAAAATCATAGATGAGGAGCCCGAGGCTCAGGTAAATTACAAGAGGCTACACAAAAGAGTGTTAGAATCTGAAAAAAAGCATTTGGAATAGCAAAAGATGGATATGGAGGCGATCAAATAATGGAAGGATATTGTAAACAATTTGACAGAGAGGTTGGATCACCTAGAGAAAGGGTTGATGGAGCTAGAGGGGAAAATGAGGAAGAGGCTTTGGGATTGTCAAGGTAGGGGCTAGATGAAAGAGGGAAGTTGACAATGGCTTACCTGCTGCTCGATATGCATGACCCGGGAAGTGTGATTGATGGAGTCAGAAGGGAAAAGCATGTCGAAGGTCCTTATCGGACCAAATAGATTAGGAAACAATGTTCTTTATTACTTTCTAGTTAGATTTAGTTACATTTCGATGTAATAAGGCTTCATTCCATTAGTGACTTCATCTTATTCTTTCGATTTAGTAAGGATTAATTTGATTTATTTTCGCATTAATGGAATGAGGCAACGTTTGCATAAATGTTTTCCAAGTCTATGTGTCGCTTAGGCCTACCTAGGGCACAATGAGGTCCCAAATTAGGACGTGAATTATTGCATGACACTATGTGTTTCTTTCTTAAATATTGCAAATACTCTTTCATTTCGCCTTACTGATTTGGTTACCTTTTATTTGTCTTTCTTTGATTATTCCCATTCCCAAAGGTTGGTTCGTGCATTCTGGCATCATCAACATACCACACCAGATCGAGAGGTCCTCCACCTCCTCCTACACCTAGCGAACCCAAAAGCAAAAGCAAAGGCAAAGGATAGATGGACAATTTGAGTGTTATTCGTAAGGACAATGCTACCATCGCGGAAAATGTCAAAATTTCATACGGAAGAAGTACGCCAGAAAAAAATGAGTTGGTTCTGCGGTTGGAACAAAAAATCTTGGATTTGCAATATGAGCTTGAGCAGATCCGAAACCTCGCAAACCTTTCCCTTACTCTGAATGTCCCCGACATCAACCATCTTAATACCACCACCAAGAATCAAACACCACCCCAAAACACAAAAACCCAAAATCCACTACCCTACACCCTCTCAAAACCGTCCCACAACTCATCAATACCACAACCCTACACCCTCTCAAAACATTAACCCTCTACCATTAGAAACCCCTTAGAAACACCACCATTACACGACTCCCTACCCGCAAACTACTACTTCTCATACTTCTCAGAATGTCCCGCAAACTACTACTTGTCATACTTCTCAGAATGTCCCGCAACCTACCCCTGTCCTCCTCAGACCTCAATCAATTATCACACATATACTCAAGTCCTAGTAACACTCCAAGGTAACCCGATATAGGTGGAGACCTTACCACACACCCCACAGAAAACCCTATACATACCTGAACCAACCGAGAATGAGGGTGGAAAATATGTTGAAGGCTTGAATTAGTGAAGACCTGTGTATCTAGCCAGGCGTGTAACTGCCTACAAACCTCCTAAGTTTGAGATGTTCGATAACACTGATGATCCTAAAGTGCATTTAAGAACCTACTGCGATAAGCTGGTAGGAGTGGGCAAGAATGAACAAATTCGCATGAAGTTGTTCACGCAAAGTCTCATCAAGGATGCTTTATCCTGCTACGTTAGTCATAATCCAAAGAAGTGGGCGAACAGGGTAAGTATGGCATCTGACTTCATGGATAGATTTAGGTTCAACACAAAAAATGTGCCAGACATTTTCTATATATAAAACCTCAAGAAGAAGCAAACGGAAATCTTCCGTAAGTATGCTACTCGCTGGAGATCAGAGGTTGCCAAGGTGAGGCCACCACTAGAAGAGGAGCAAATGAACAAGTTCTTTGTCAGAGCTTAGGATCCACAGTACTACAAAAGATTGATGGTTATAGAGAATCATAAGTTCTCCGACATCATCAAGCTGGGAGAAAGAATAGAAGAGGGAATGAAGAGTGGTATGGTGACTAATTTTGAGGCGCTGCAAGCCACCAATAAAGCCTTATAGTCCGGAGGCATTTCAAAAAAGAAGGAAGTAGATGCTGTGATGATAGCCCAGGGCCCAAATTCTCCCTTTACCTATCAGACACCCCAACAAACATACCAACCCTCACCTACAAAGTACCATTAATCCGCCACCACCTACCATACCTATAATACCTAGCATGCATATTACCATTCATCTCCTCCCGCACGCCAAAACTACCTAAAACCAAGACCTAACTTCGACCACAAAACTCCCAGACAATACACTTATATCGCTAAGCCCATAGCCCAACTATATGAAAGACTGAAGGCTGCTAGTTATGTCACTCCCATTCCTGCAGCTGCTATTAAAAACCCTTATCAGTGGGTCAACCCCAACAAGACGTGTACCTACCACTCAAGCATGAAGGGACATACTATCGAGGAATGTTTCATGTTCAAAGATATGATCCAGACACTGATTAACACAAGGTTATACATGCGAAGGAGTCCGCGCCGAATGTACGTAATAACCATCTTCTTAATCACAGGGGTGAAGGAGTGAATGTGATAGAAACTAATGAAGAATGGGACCAGGAAGGATCCATCGGGCTTATCCGAGAAGGAGACGCTCCCAAAACATCTCCTGTCACCCTCTCACTGATTGTGGTGCGAACCAAGGCACCGTTCAAGGTCGAGGTAGCAACGCCCTTCACTGTGATGGTAGCTCCAACGCCATCTTACAAGTATGATGATGTTCCATGGGATTATGTGGGGGAGGAAAGGAGAAAAGAAAAATCCAAGATGGAAGAGATGGGTGCCGCATAGGGTATGACCAGAACCGTCAGAGTTTACACGTCCAAAAATCTTGGAGAAACGAGTAAAGAGACTGCACCGAAGCCACTTGTTTTGGAGACAACTACTGATGATCTTTGGAGGAAGGTACATGCGAGGGAGTACTCTGTTGTCGATCACGTAAATAAGACTCCCGCCAAAATATCCATCTTGTCACTGTTGCAAAACTCATATGCATAAAAGAATGCCTTGATAAAGGTGTTAAGTGAAGCTTATGTACCTATCATTATACTAGTGAAAAGATGGAAAACATGGGGGGCAGGTACCGGAGAGTCACAAGATTACTTTCCACGAAGATGAGCTGCCGCCAGGAGGATTGAGTCATAACAAAGCATTGCACATCACTGTGCAATATGAAGACAAGTTCAGGGCTCTGATCGACAGGGGTTCAAGTATGAACATATGCCCGCTGACTACTCTGAAAAGATTGGATATAGGTCTGCATGAGATACGGACGGGAAGTATGAACATGAAAGCATTTGATGGGTCTTCAAGAGCTACTATTGGAGAGATAAACCTGGATTTGAAGATGGGCCCAACTTGGTTCGATGTTGAGTTTAATGTGCTGGATATATCCGCTACCTATAACCTATTACTGGGATGACCATGGATACACACGGCTGGAGCAGCTACTTCTACTCTGCACCAGGCCGTGAAGTTCGAGTTGAACCATTAGGAGGTGATTATCCACAGAGATGGAAGTAACCATATCTACACTAACCAGACTGTGCCAGCTATTGAGAATAGAAGGAAGTTGGGAGGAGAGACATTCCACATTGATCGGATAAAAGCAGTTGAGAAAGGGCGATGGTGGAGCAACAAGGTACCGAGCATGCTGTTGTGACTAGGATATGACCCAGGCAAGGGTCTTAGTCCTAAGCAGCAAGGAATCACAAAACTGATAAGATCACAATATCATGGCACAACCTTTGGTTTCAGATATGAATACATCATGCAAGAATATGGATATCACCAGGGCGTGACTTTTACTATATAGTAGAACAACCCGTACCACCGTTGTACCAAACATTCCACCTGACTGATGTGATTTGGGGATCCGAGGAAGATGAAGTTTTGGCCGACATGAGGAATTTGTTTATGGACGAGAAAAATATGGAATGTAGTGCGATCTTAGAGGAGAAGGAGGAAGACCTTACCATTTAGACGATGGGAGATGGAGCCATTCTCAAGAACTAGACTGCTGCACCATCCCGGGCTCGTCGAGCACCTGGGTAGCCTTAGAAGAACTAGTATAATTTATTTTAAAATTGTTATGGCATTTAAGACCATTTTAGTGTTTTGTTTTGAAATAATGACTCGAGACATCGAGTCGTACTTGTTTGATAGTTTTTAAGTCTTAATTAATGCATCATTGCTTTTTGCTTCTTTATATTATTATCTTTCTACATTCTTTTTCAGCATAATTATTTCATATCCTGTTGAACCTACGACTGTGACATGTAATGAGTCAACGCAACATGAGGGAAGTGACTCAAAAGATTGGGAATATGATATAATACCTAAGGAAATTGTCAAAGAAGTAGAGAATTTTGAGAACAAACCGAAGTCCAATCTTGAAGAAACTAAGGCAGTTAACTTAAGGGATTTTGAAACAGTCAAAGAAACTCACATTAGCATTCATCTGTCACCATCAGAGAAGGAAGAGTACATCAGATTTCTAAGGGAATATGGGGATATGTTTGCATTGTCCGATGACTACATGACGGGAATGAGCCAAGGTCCTTCGGGTGGTCGAGCACCCGACATGGCTAGCCAACATTGTGTCGGTACCAAAAAATGATGGGAAAGTCAGGGTGTGCTTTGATTATCGAGATCTAAACAGAGTAAGTACTAAGGATAATTTCCCCTGCCTAACATACACATACTAACCGATAACTGTGCTAAGCATGAACTCCAATCCTTTGTGGATTTCATCGCAGGATATCACTAGATTTGGATGGACGAAGAGGATGCCGAAAAGATAGCCTTCATCACGCCATGGGGAATATACTGCTACAAAATGATGCCATTTGGTTTGAAGAATGCTGGGGCAACCTACATGAGAGCCATGACTACTCTTTTCCACGATATGATACATAAGGAAATAGAGGTGTACGTGGATAATGTCATCATCAAGTCTAAGAGGAGTTTGGATCACATAGCAGGCCTGAGGATGTTTTTCAACTGACTAAGAAAATACAATTTGAAGTTGAATCCTGCAAAATGTGCTTTCGGAGTCCCTGCCGAGAAATTGCTAGGTTTCATTGTCAGTCACCGCGGCATTGAGTTAGACCCGTCAAAGATCAAATCTATTCAAGACCTGCCACCACCGAAGAGCAAGAAGGATGTATTGAGTTTTCTAGGCTGCCTGAATTACATACGTCGCTTTTTAAAGCTGGCAACAGTAATATGCGAGCCAATCTTCAAAATGATGAGGAAAGATATTGTGATGAGTTGGACCAAAGAGTGTCAAAAGGCTTTCGATATAATCAAGGAGTACCTGTCCAAGCCACTTGTGTTGGTCCCATCGGAGCCCGGGAGACGTTTATTGCTGTACCTATCTATGTTGGATGGAGACTTTGATTGCGTCTTGGGGCAACATGACGAGAATGGAAGGAAGGACCAAGCAATAAACTATCTGAGTAAGAAGTTCACACCTTACGAAGCACGGTACTCTTTGTTAGGACGTACTTGTTGTGCCTTAACATGGATAGCATAGAAATTGAGACATTACGTTTGCGCATACACCACATATCTCATATCAAGGATGGATCGGCTGAAATACATCTTTCAGAAACCCATGCCTATGGGTAAGCTAGCAATATGGCAGATACTACTAAGTGAGTTTGACATCATCTATGTGACTCAGACGGCGCTCAAGAGCAAACATTGGCCGATCACCTGACAGAGAACCCCGTGGATGGAGAATACGAACCATTGAAGACGTATTTTCCCCACGAGAAAGTGTCGTTTATAGGGGAAGACATTGCTGAAGCATATGCTGGCAGGAGAATGTTTTTCGACAGAGCTGCAAACTTCAAAGGAATAGGCATCGAAGCTGTCCTGGTATTAGAAACTAGTCAACATTAGACGGTATCTGCCAAGCATAGGTTTCCATGCACTAACAATATGGAATAATACGAGAATTACATCTTGGGATTGGCCATCGACATGAATATTCACGAACAGCTGGTAATAAGAGATTCAGATTTGCTAATACGTCATGTACTCGGAGAATGGGCCGCCAAAAATACTAAGATATTTCCATACCTGTACTGTGTGCAAGATTTGATCAAGAGGTTCATAATGATAGAATTAAAATATGTTATGAGAGTTCAAAACGAGTTCACAGACGCACTGGCTACCTTGTCTTCCGTGATACAAAATCCAGACTAGAACTATATTGATCCCATTCCAATAGAAATCCATAAGCAGACACCTTATTGTGCTCATGTTGAAGAAGAGTTCGATGGAAATCCATGGTTTCACGATATCAAGGAGTATTTGGAAAAAAAAGAGTACCCGAAAAATGCTACACACACCCAGAAGCGCACGCTTCACAGATTGGCCAACCATTTCTTTTTAAGCAGAGGAATTCTGTATAGAAGGACTCCCGACTTGGGACTACTATAATGTGTCAATGCCAAGGAGGCATCTAGGATGCTCGAAGAGATACACACTAGAACCTGCGGACCTCACATGAATGGGTTTATTCTAGCGAAAAAGATATTAAGGGTAGGGTATTTCTGGTTGACTATGGAAACGGGCTATATCAAATATGTGCAAAAGTGCCACCAATGTCAAGTACATTCTGATATGATACGGGTACCACCCAATGAACTCAATGTAACGATTTCACCCTGGCCTTTTTCTGCCTGGGGCATGGATGTCATCGGACCGATTGAACCCACTGTTTCCAAGGGAAACAGATTCATTTTGTTGGCCATAGATTACTTCGCAAAATGCGTCGAAACTGCTTCTTATAAAGCAATGACTAAGAAGGTTGTAATCAACTTTGTCCGGGATTGTATTGTTTTCTAATTCAGAGTACCTGAATCAATCATTACCGACAATTATGACAAGCTCAGCAGTGATCTAATGAAAGCCACGTGTGAAACATTCAAAATCAAGCACCGAAATTCTACAGCATATAGGACACAAATAAATGGAGCCGTAAAAGCCGCCAACAAGAATATCAAGAAGAAACTAAGGAACATGGTGGACAACTACAAGCAATGGCACGAGAAGCTACCATTTTCTCTTCTCGGGTACCGCACCACGGTCCGCATAACAACTGGGGAAACCCTCTATTTACTGGTCTATGGTACTGAAGCTGTCATACATACCGAGGTGGAAATTCCTTCCCTGAGAATCATACAGGAGGCCGAGCTCAGCGACGCGGAATGGATACAGAGCCGGTATGAGAAATTCGCTCTCATTGACGTCAAAAGGATGAACGCGGTATGTCACGGTCAACTCTACTAGAATAGAATGGCAAGGGCTTTCAACAAGAAGGTTAGACCAAGGAAATTCACACCGGGGCAATTGGTGTTGAAATGGATCTTCCTACACCAGGATGAAGCAAAAGGAAAATTCTCACCTAACTGGCAAGGTCCTTACATGGTTCACCGAGTATTGACAGGAGGAGTACTCATACTTGCAGAGATAGACGGGGAGATATGGCCAAAACATATCAATTCGGATGCCGTCAAAAGATATTATGTTTGAGATTGTATTTGCACTTTCTTTCGATGTAACATGAACTATGCTTGATCTGATTCCCGTTTAAGATGGGATACATAGGCAGCCCTGTGGGTTTGGTCACATCATAATAAAATCTTCATTCCGCTCTACGGTCAAAAACCGGGGCAAGATTTTGAGTTTTCGTCAATCTCATTATGTCAAGTATCGCCAAGAAGAGTATCGTCGGAAGCATACATTAAACTGGGGCAGAAGTTTGAGCGGGTCCTCAAAATTCTGAGTTAAGAAGGTCATAATGTCTTAGAGCATGTCACGTCCTATGATTCGACCTTATAATTTACCTTTGTGCATTATCTTTAAAACACTTGCATTATTTATAAATGATTTGCCGCAAACTTCATTTCTGTAATAGTCAGGCGTTACCCAGGGTGACTCAAACAAGGCATCAAGAGAAGAGCGGAGACAAAATGAGGAATCGAGAGCACGAACCTCCCTCCCTAAAAAATTCACAATTTTCCTTTGGATGCAGGTATAACAGACATAACAAGCACGTCCACAAATATATAAATAAGACCACGGTATTCATACCGACAGAAGTCACCAAGCACAAACACGTCAAGCTAAGAACCACTTTTCTTCCTCATATTTAATCGTTGCTTTTTTTTTTACATAGGCCTAAGCACTGCCCTCATTATATTGCATTAGGATAAGCACTGCCTCCAATATTGCATAAGGCTAAGCAATGCCTTCCGTTGCATAGGGCTATGCACTGTCCTCATTACATTCCATGAGGCTGAGCACTGCCTCCATCATTGCATAAGGCTAAGCACTGCCTTCCTCTGCATAGGGCTAAGCACTGCCCTTATTACATTGCATGAGGCTATGCACTGCCTCAATTATTGCATAAGGCTAAGCACTGCCCTCATTACATTGCATGAGGCTATGCACTGCCTCAATTATTGCATAAGGCTAAGCACTGCCCTCATTACATTGCATAGGGATAAGCACTATCCTCATTACATTGCATGAGACTAAGCAGTGTCTCCATTACATTGCATGAGACTAAGCATTGTCTCCATTACATTGCATGAGGCTAAGCACTGTCTCCATTACATTGCATGAGGCTAAGCACTGCCTCCATTATTGCACAAGGCTAACAACTGCCTTTCTCTGCATAGGGCTAAGCACTGCCCCATTACATCGCATGAGACTAAGCATTATCTCCATCACTTGCATAAGGCTAAGCACTGCCTTGTCTCGCTCTTGCACATGACTAAGCATCACCTGTTCCCTCTATCAAACTATTGATATCGCCACATCTTTCCATTTCATGGGTTGAAACATCACCACACTGTCTGAAGGCATCATAGACTGAAGGCATCATCCTCATAGCCCGAAGACATCATGACATGGCCTGAGGATCTCTCGAAACGGCATATCATTATTCAAAGGTGTCATAGTCCAATGGAACCATCCTCGTGGCCCGAGGACACCATTTCATGGTATGCGAATCACTTATCATACGCTTCATGGCCCAAGATGTCATGGTCTAAGGACATCATCCTCATCGTCCCAAAGACAACTCTCATGGTCCGAAGGGAATCTGCATCATGTTTAAATTTCCTCAATGACTATATATATTCGCGTACACCATGTTTGATGTTTCGCAAGTAACTCGGGAGATAACCCTTCTACAAATAGGAGCAATTATCGCTCCAGTTTCCGTTCACCATGATCACACCCTTTGATTACCTCAAATGTAACCGATAACCAGCGATTATTCTTTATTACATAACCGCTCAAACATTTGTCTTGTACATCCATAACATTCGATTTTGCATTTATAGCTCCACTTGAAATTATCCGCTACTTATGACACTGCCCTCTCCAGATAAGATCCTTCTTCGAAAAGTACAACCCTTTTTTATAATAACTCTACCAGCTCCGTTCGCAGTTAGATCCAGAACTGCACGCGATCTGGGTTCGGCCCCCATTTTTCCAAAAAATAAAATACCTCATCCTCACTCATTCGAACAAAACTGGTCATCATTTTCTTTACCCGACAACTCTTTCATCATTCCCAGGGAAAGAGGGCCAGCTATTGATACCCAATTTTGCCCTCATATTTTATAAACTATTCCATATACTTTGAAAATATTATTTTTCACTATTACCCAATTTACATGAGGTATATAAGTATTTTCTACAATTTTTAAAGCTTTAAAATTGATTCTCTAGCATTTTAATCATTCAAATATTTATTAATTATACTTCAAATTATTTTGGGGAAATTTATTATTTGTATTCGCATGTATTTTATAATATTCTATTCCATTTTTACATAATTATATTTGCCTCTTTCTACTATTTTTATAATATTTTACAATAATAGCCTATATTCTATAAATAACTGCATTTACTATATTAGCTACAGAAAAATAGCATTCTATATTTTTATAATGTTGAGTTATTATTTTTAAGCATTTTATTTCATAAATAATATTTTTTATTATTTATTAAACATTTTAACAATTTTGTTTTTATTGATTTCAGATATTTTTAACGCTGGCCCAGGTCAAGCTATTTATGGACTGAATCAGCGGCCCAAAACCCCTAAATCCTTAGCTCACCAGCCCTTAGCCCAAACCAAACGACCCCTTTAACTTAACCCGGTCGCGACCCATTAATAACCCACCCCGCTTCCCTTTCGATCCAGACCGTTGATCTTAAGTGATCAACGACTCACAACTGCCATACCCTTCTCCTTATATCCCTCCCCACTAAACCCTAGAGACCATTTCCCATCTATGCTGCCCTCAAACACTCCCAACCCTTCTTCTCCCTGAGAAACCCTCGCCGCCTCATCTCTTATCTCTCTCCAATTCCGTCTAGACAACAAAATCTTCTTGTGATTTGCCTTCCTTATTCGTATTACCGCATCCTTATTTACGCAACTATGGTGTTACTTAGTACCTTCCTAAACTTGGCAAGTACAATCTCTCATAATTGGGCCCGTTCAACTTCAATCTCTAAGAACTGGACAATATCCCGACCATATACTTGGAAAATGGTTGATTTCTCACACCAGCAGGCAAATATTCAAACGTTGAACCCTAATTAGGGTATGGAATTTGATTACTCCCTTTACCGGCTAATTTACTGATTTGCATGCAATATTTTCTTTCTTTCTTTATGTATGTGTGATTTCCTTCCTTGTTTGTTCGCCTGATTGAACACTATATAACCCCTCCCCAGTTTCCCCTTAAGGCAGACCTTAATCACTACTCTTATTATCTTACTCACTCATTCTATACTATTTTGCGACTTTGATTTTGGCCGGCTAAAATCCATGGCCACCAGAATTCGTTCATTAACCTCCTCCGGTGCAAGCACTGCTCGGAGCCCAATTCGAGGCTCTTGTGAACTCTCAATCACTGGGGATTTGTGATTTCATTATTCTCCTGCTATCGCTGTTATCTCTGAGGTTTTGAGTTTGTCGCTATTTGTTCACTTTCTTTGCAACTAGTTAGAGCTTTCTAACCCCGCAGTTCTACTTCCTTGTTTGTGTTTATGTTATGAGCACTAGTGCTACTTCGATTACTTTGAGCTAATGTGATTTCACTATTATGCCACTTCGTATACAATCCTGCTTGTCTTAATACCATTATATAGTTTTATATGTTTGCCTGATTGATGTTTATTGCACCTTGTTTTGATTTCTTGTACTAACACCCTTAGGAACTATGTTCCTCCTCAAAATTGCTTTAATCTCTTCCTACTGAATCATTTATGCATAACTTGATGTTTTTCTGCAAATCATGTGACAAAACTGTCCAAATGCTAAGCCTAATATGCTCTCCTACTAGCTTAATGTATGTCCATCACATGTGTCCAACCCGAATGATTTCTAACCATTATGTTTATGTATAGTTGGTTACTTTTATCTGTTATTTGTTATGAGTCTATGCCTTATATTCTTACGAGGAACTAATTCAGGCCTAGAATCTGTCCAGATGAACTACTTTCTGCTGAGTCCTTCATGTACGATATGCTATTTTCTTAGAGTTAATTCATAAGGAATCTACATGTCGTTACTATCCCAACTAGGTCTCTTCGCTATTTGTAAACTCTAATGTTGTGCTATCATTATGTGCTCTCTGATTGCTTAAGACTGCTATGAGGAATCCCAATATATCCAACATGTTCTTCCTATATGGTCAACTGGGATAGTCATGTTGTTTGTTTGGCATGTTAGTCTGGAGTTGATATATTTCACCTACCATGAGTCCTTGTACCTTCTCTAAGACTTAAACCTTTGTGTTATGACCGAAATCTGCCTGATACTCAATATGTTAAGTCGCTCATGTTCAAATTAAGTGATTGTTTTCCCATGTCCATTAGTCTGTTTGGTATTCTACTTGGCTATAAATTAGTTGTAATTCATTAGGGTCTCGTGTTTAAAGCCTTTTTGTATAATTGCTCCTTACTTTTGTTCATGATTATGACTCCTCTAAATTTCCTTGTTACGACTCTTATGTCTATAGTCCCCTTTAGGTTAATTCTAAACCATGCTTTGCTGGCAAATTCTGCTTAACTCTGGCTTGCTATCTCCTAACCTGTTTTCTGTGAAATATAGCATGTGTATGTCGTGTATGCCTGTTGAGACTTTGTGAGATCTTGTTTGTATGCCATTAGTTTGGAAACATCTGTTCCCTACAACCTTAAGGGTTAAGTTCCTAGGTTTCAAAGTTTCTTAATTGGCCTAGCACATAGTTTGTCACTTGTATTAGTACGGCTAGTTTGGCATTCAAATGGGTAAGAAAGGCAGTTGTTTGGGCATGTTTGTTGGGCCAGTTTTGGTACTGAGAGCTGAAGCATAACAACAGCTATCCGGAGTATGGGCCTGCTCATCCACATGAGGCTCCATGTTTAGTTGAAAGCCTAGAAGCATCCCTGATTTAATTTGTATCTATATTGGGCCTGTAGTTGTCCAGCTGGACCTATGGAAATTTATTTGATTTTGTATTATTTTTTTGGGCCTATAATAATTTGTAATGATGAATAATGGGAATTAGTGAAAATGGGGGGCTGGGATACTATAATTCATGCATGAAAGGGTAGGAAACATGCCTATAGGATCTAAATTCTTATTTTGCTACTTGCTCAACATGATCTATCTCTATATGTTGCTAGATAGCACGCCTACATGATCTCATTGTGTAGTCGAGAATTTCTTACCTTTTGCAATTATGTGGCTCGGCTAGAAAGTTGTCACGATCCAAAATCCGACCAGTCATAATGGCACCTAACCCAACCCGCTAGGTAAGCCAATAAACAACAATCCAATTCAAATGAAATTTACTGAGAAAAATACAAGATGAAATGACTGAACTTTTACACAACTTCCCAAGGACTGGTAGTACAAATCATGAGCTTCTAAGATTTAGAGATTACAAAGCTGGTATGAAATAAATACATCATCTGTTTGAAATATACATGAACAGAATTAAAATTCTAAAGCAACCAAGAACAAGAGGGGGCTACGACCAGAACACATGTATATCTTCAATGCCAGCTCCTGTATACACATCAATATCAGCATTAAAAATCTGGACGCAAGGTGCAGAAGTATAGTATGAGTACAATCAACACCAAGTACGCAATAAGTAACAAACTTAA